CCACTTCCACTCAATATATGCTAGTATGTGTGGGTGGCCCATTGAAAACTTTGCACAAAATGTTCAATGGCCCCGAGGCTCGATCGTTTTTGTAGGGGAAAAGCAACTAAAATTTGGAAAATGGGAAAATAGAAAATTCTAGTAAGAGGGGAAAAGGCCATGAGGCAAAGTATATACAACTGGTTTAGCAGTTGTTGTTGCTGCTTCCGTCAAGGGGGAATCTATCAGTTCAGGTTGGCCACTTTCATTTTATATTTCTTTTTTTTTTTATATTTAAAAAAAGTAAAAAGTAAAAAAAAGTGCTGAAGTCTATAGGGTAAAACCCAACAACAAATATTTGGGTTTACAAAACTGGAAGTAGTATCAAAAAAAAATTTAAGGTAATGGAGGGTGTTTAAAAAATTGCAACAATATATTTTTAGCCCAAAAGTCAGTGGAATTCATTCCGAAAGACGACGTTCTATTTTTTCGTTGCATACTTTTGGACACCCCTTTAAGTCATTTCGAAACCCAAGTGATTTCTGTGGCACCTACCATTAATTGAACTTTCTTGATAATTTCTAAATCTGTTTCGAGCTTATATTCATACCAGCAATAATGAAGATTTTAAAAGAAATTATAACAGCGTGAAAATTCCCGCATTCAGTGCCATAGTTAATTGTTTGGCACTAGAAAGAAGTCCTTCAATTTAATTCCCAAACTTGCTCGTAAACGCTGTTTACCCCACTGGATTTATGTCCCTTTCACGCAAACTATCGCCATCTCTCAGTTGCTTCCCCACGGACAGTGCAAAAACAGTATTTATTATCACAAAGTGGAATAAACAGAAACAGAATTTAATAAAAGGCAAACTTTTTCTGCAGCTGCTGCTGTTGTTGATTGCAAATGAAATGAATATTATTTGATTGAATAACGAGAGCGTCGGGTAAAATATAATTGCTAGCAATCTTTGTTATGCGTTGCTTTTAAATCCAAATTAAATTAAACAATCAAGCACACGCGCACACACACAAAAACACACAAATACATCCTACAAACTGCCATTTTGAGTTACAAAATGCGCTGCACTTAAAAGTATGCAACATTTTTTGTGCGTTTTTTTTGTTTTTTGTTTTTTTTTGTTTTACCCCACTCCATATTGCGTGTGCACAACTTTCGTCGAGTGTCATAGTGGTGTTGCGTTAGTGGTGCTGCTGGGGAAAGTGCGGCGAAAGTAGGATGAACGTGGGACTGCTGTTGTGGTTGGTCAACGGCAATAATAATGGCAACAATATACACACGACGTGCAAAAACGGGATAGAGCAGAGTGGGCAACACACAAACTGCTGCCAAATGTATGCACAGGAAGCATTTGTAATGCCCCCGCCAGCAGCGCGAGGAAGTTCTCTTCTCCCTTCTCCCTTCTCCTTGGCCTCTTTCCCCAAATTCTCCCCCAGCGCTTTCCGCCGCTTTTCCCTCGCTTTTCCCTCGCTTTTCCCCCTCTTTTCCAACTTTTCCCCAGCTGTGCTTTCGCTGCTATGTCGCCTGCTGGTCAAGCAATTTTTTCAAATTTGGCGCCTCGAACTTGAAGGTACTTCTTTAAATGGATTTTAGTTATTAACGTAAAAAAATATAACAAAAATATATTCTAAAAAAAACATATATATACAAATAGTTTGAGATGTTTTCGGCACATCTAAGTTTGCTCAAAAATGAAATGCAAATACTTAAAGAATCTAAAAGAGATTTGATTTTTAAATGCGTATTTTTAACACGTTTTTATTTTAGTAATTATAAAACCATTTTTAAAGTTTCATTTACTGATTTTACTGATTTAATTAGTAACAGATGCCACCTTGCTTGGTTTTCGTCTTTTAAAACTGGTCGAGATTGTATTGAAAACGATTAATTTTTTATTTTTTTTATTATTATTATTGCCTATCATCAGTTAACACCATTAAATATATATTTTAATTATTTATAAATTTTTTTCCGTATTTTCTTTTTATGAGTTTCCTTTCAGTTTGAAACTCCCTAATTTCAAGGGTATCAAATCTTAGCGGAAACAAAACGTTGCGTGTGTGTGTGTGAGCCACCATTTAGTGGAATGTGGGGGGTGGTGGGTTGATTGAGGGACGGGGGTGGTGGCGCCTAACCCGCAGGGCCGCTTGGCAGACTGTTTATGGTTTTTGGCTACAACTTAATTTAAATTGTTTAATTCTATTATTGTTGCTAATAAATCACAGGCACAGCTTGCGCTGCTCGCTGGCTGGCTTAGCATTTGCTAAGCTGTCCCGAACTCACATAGATATACACGTATATACACACACCCGCACACACACACACACATACACGCACGCAGATGCACATTTGTCTTGTGCCTGCTGGTGTAAGCGGCTTTCTTCTCCCGTCTCTTTCTCAACCATTGCAGCCATCTCTTTCACTCTGGCCCCCTGGGTGCTATTCATTGTTTTGTTTTGCATGCCTTCCGTCCCTTTCTTGCTATAAATTACACTGATCTAGTAACTTTTGTGGCAAAAGCTTGATTTTAACGTTTTTTTTTTTTTTGTATTTTTGAAAATTTTGAATATGAAATATCAGATAACTTTGGGGGATTATTATATGGCTGGTTTGGCAAAACTAGTTTATTCGCTAGCCATTGCAATGAAGAGCTAAAATTTCATTCAAAAATCAAAAAAAAAAAAAAAAAGTAAAGCCCGCACACAACAACCGCATGTCAAATGCAGGCCAAATCGCCCAGGACAAGGGGGGCGTTCGAAGGGGGCGTGGCAAACGCTTGACCAGCCGGCGACCGCTTGACATGGCCATAAATAACAAAGCCAAAATGGCGGCCAAAGCGTAGAACCGCAGGCAAAACGAGAAAACACGCTGGAGTCGAAAAGCCAGAGCGGGCCAAAATCAAACCAAAAAGCAAAACGATGAGATACGAGTAGGGCCAAATGTGATATGTCAAATGCACGCGACAGCCACTGACGATGAGCTCGGTACAATGACAATGATGTTGGGCTGTTGGCCAGTTTGGCAGGGAATAAAAATAAGCATGGAATGGATGGCCCAGATAAGGTCCTTGAAGCGGGTTAAAACGCGTGTCTGCCACTGGCTTTTACGTTGACTGTACTTGGCCAATGCGAGTTTCAAGCACTCCGGTTACAGCTGCTGACGCGTCCAAATATGATATTGTTATCAAAGGATTGAGTAATATTTAAAGCATTATTTTACCTTTTATAAATGTTTAACCTAAAGGTATAACCCTTATAGTGTGTCAATTATTTAAAAATAATATAGGAAAGCGTTGGAAATTATGTAAATTAAAAATATGTTATAAATTAGGATCCAAGTCATTAATGTATACAAAAACCATTTAAGACATTAAAACTTGAAATTAAACGAAATAAATAAACAAAACGCTTTAATCAAAGTCCATGTAGTCTAAGGCTCTGGGCTTTCTTTTATTGGCTCTTTGCTGTCAAGAAGAGCAAATATTTTCTTGCAAATAATAATCATTTCTGCAAGGTATTTGATAAAACCAAAACAAATAAATACAAGCCTCTCAAGAAAACAAAAATATTAAATAGCCCCCAGAGGCATGACATTTGACATTTATATACAAAATGGTAAACAATTATATTAAGGAAAATATAAATCATACATATATAAGCCTTAATGGTTTAGTGCTCGATCCAAAAATCTCAGCCATTACGGTTGGTAAAAAAAGAGAACGATTAAAATCTGTGCCAATTGCGAGATGCCTTCGGCAGCTCCACATATTCATTTCCATCTATCGCTTGGATCCACAAAAATGTTTTTGAGCTGCGAAGGCAGCAAAAGTTGTAATTTCTGGTGCATACTTGCAGGCGGTGCCTGAAAATGGCAGCCACACACACGCTCACACACACACACACGCACTCGCGGAAATTCCAACAATGGCGGCAGTTATCGAGAAATGGCAGCAGCGACTGCATTTCCGCTTAATGTTGAGCGATAATAAAACACAAACAGCAACAAAAATCGACCAACTCTGCCGGCCGGGAATAATAAAACTTTTTTTTTCTCTTTTCACCCATTCTCGCCCGTACAATGGCCGCGCACACATGCATTGATTTATGTTTTTTAATTTAAAATTTCCGCATCACTTAACCGTTAAAAATAATAATAACAATAACAGCGGGCCGCGGCAACAACAATAAGCCTTTGTCCACGAGGATGGGATTTAAATATTGTAACAGCGTCAAACGAGAGGCCAATGTGGAGCGAAAATTTGTGCACATGTTTTAATTTCCGCATTACAAGCAAGGCTGCACTGGGCGAAAATTGTCAAGATTATCTGGAAGTGTACTGCAAAGAGGATGCATTTCTTTGTATACATAATCGTTTTCCCCAGTGCTTTTGGAATTTTTTATACAGAATGAAATAATTTAATACAGATCGATTAAGTCCAGTATTTGGCTTCTTTAAAGAAAAAATATCATATAATTTTGTGTATTTCTTTTTTAGAATGTGCTTTTAATTTTATAATATTAAAGCTTATATGTAAAAGATTTATTTTAATATGCAAAAACTTATCTTAAAACAAAATAAAGTTTTTAAAATATCAACTTTCAAAAAAGGCAAACATATTTAACATATACTTTAATGGAAATCCGGACAATAAGTTCGAGATTTTTTTTTGAATTCATGCATATAAACCTCTTCATTTTAATTTTTGATTGTGGTGACCAAAAATAAACCACGAAATAATAGTCGGTTGCTCTTAACGTTTTCCGTATAAGATGAGTGTTAAATTAATACCACGAAAGTATCAAAATAAAACTTATGTGGTTTTAAATGAAGGGCTTAGACTAAAGTTTTCGTCTTTTTGGTATAGAAATTAGACTAAAAAGCATATTGGTTATATTATTTAGTATTAATACTTATGCTTCAATGCTGTCTATTGGCTTTATAATATTTGTGTTTAAGTGCACCCAAAAAACTGACCGCTTCTCTTCTCTTTTGTTTTCCAGATTGGGCGGCCACCCACAACAGATGCCGCAGAGCATGTCAACTGGCAGCAACACAATCGGCCACGGCGGCATCGATCGCGGCGGCGTTGGACTGCCGATGGGCGCCGGCACCATGCCCGGCGGTGTGGGCGGTGGCCAGGTGGGCGTGGCCGGCGGACAGCAAGTGGGCGTTGGACCGCCCGGGAGCGGTAACGGTGGCAATTGCCAGATAAGCGGCTCACAGCCGCTGGTCATGCCCGGATTCCCGTTGCGTAATTCCCACTCAGCCCATGCACCGCATTATTCGCCATATTCGCCATCCAGGTGAGTTTCCATCGGCACAATGGCACATAACCGCGAATCAAGGGAGGCCCAAAATATATATCAGGCCCGGGGTCGCAGTGAACAGTGAACAGTGAACACTCTTCGAGTGAGTGAGCGTTAAATTGAGTGAGAAGTGGGGGTGCAGTGGATATGACTTCCAGTCAACTGGTTTTGTTTAAGTGAAGGCGGGTTTTTTTTTTTTTGCGAAATTTCCTTACTGCTGAAGGCCATTGAATTTTATTTCACAATATATTTATATAACAATGCTCAGAGCAAGCGTCTAATCAAACGTATTCATTTATTTTAATCAAATAACTGACATACAAATTTCTTAATAAATGTTACTGAATAGTTGTTTCGTTTCGTTTATTTTATTAGATTTGTTTTTCCTTATGTTTGCACTTGATGTGCATGCTGTATTGACATGCCCACAATATTGATTTTTCCTTGTTAGTTTATTGCCAATTAAAATAAACTGAGTGTAATGCTGTTCAAAAATTGTAGGCAATAAAAAAGCTCTAGGGATTAAAGATGAAAATCAACAAAGTGCTCTAAAATATGAATAACTGCTTTTTTTTTGTTTAGTTGGCAGTGAAATTGCTGTCAAGCTAGCAAGAACTAGATAAGCAGGATTTCCATTATTTCTCGGGCAAAATTGACAGGATCACAAGGTCGTTTAAAGTTTGGAAAATTGAAGTAGCATAATGGGCATAATCGGAACCCTGAGCATGGCCCACAAGGTGTACAGTGCGCTCTGGCTAGGGGAGCCGAAGTATACCCCAGGATCCAGGACTCGCGGTCGCCTTCCGAAATGGCATCGCCACCGGCAAGTTCACGCCAAGGTGGCCAGCCCAAATCGGCAGCAGCTCGATTCCTGGGCCCCCAAGGACCCAGCACTCGATTCCGATTGCAACTCCGATTCCGAGTACGAAAGCAGTGACCCTGGTAGCGGCAATTTCGATGGCAGGATCAAGAGATCCGGAAGGTGTAGCAATATAGAATCCTTAGTCTCCGTAAAGCAGTCGACGAAGGACCTGCGGCAGATAGTCAACTGTTGGTGGCCATTGAATATCTGCCACGAAAAGCGACAGCGGTTCCAACAGATTGTAAATCATTCGGCGGAGATAAAAGTGCTCTGGCCATCAGGACCCAATAGTAGTTGAATAAGCAGTTTGTAAGGATATCCAGAATATGCACTAGTTTCCTGTTTATGTGAAAATAATAAATTCAAAAAGAAATGTATGTAATTTTCTCAGAAGTCTTTCTTTTTCACTACATTTCTAGGAAAGAATTATATATTTTAATTATTTCAATATATTTCTAATGCTTATTGCTCTCAATATTCCTTATCAACGTTAGTAGTGTCCTTCCCCTAAGATGTTTGCCTTGAAGGCTTACTTAGTGAGTCAAACTAATGCTGAAACTTCTTCCCAGTTCAGAGCTCCCTAGTTAGTGCCTTAACTCCTTAAGGAATTTTCCCCCAGGGCATTTTCCACTCTTCTACTCTTCCCGGTTTTTCTTTTTTCCTGCACTGGCTTTTCCTTCGCCGAGTTGAATCACCTTTGAAGGCCTTACTCGGACACTTTCGAGTCTAACCCAATTCTGGGCAACTTTCGAAAGTTGCCAACTCAAGAATTGTTAATTCTCTTTAAGCTGGGACCACGCCTCCTTTTCCGGGTCCCTTTACCGCCTACATTTTCCGTTTCTCCCCCTAAAATTGCACAACTCCCTCCGTCAGCGTTTCGTTCAACTTTTACGCAATTAGAGGCGACCACGCCGAAAGACTTGACAGCTCTGCCTGCGGCAGCTTAGACTTGTTGGCTGTATAGAGTATGTGTGATTAACACCCTTTTTTTGGGTCGAGAATGGGGAAAGCATGGTGAGCTCGACGGGAGCAGGGGTCTTTGTCTTGTGCATCATTTTGCATGCGTTGCCTTTTCGGTCGGGAGCTTTATTAAAAAAGTTGCCAGCTGTTGCCAGCAGTTGACAAACTCATTGGCGTACTAAATCTACGCTGCACCGTTTCTAGCAAGAGAGAAAATAATACAAAAAATTCTATAACTAATTCTTAGTTGGTTTTTGCTGTTAATTTTTTTTTATGAAAATTAAACAATTTGTAACTTATGTGCAGCCGTCTGCATGGTCGCACTGAACCTTCCTTTCTTAAGAGTACATGGTCACACTTATCCTTCTTACGAATACATGGTCATACGGATCATTTTCAGAATAATTCGATATGCCCAAATGTAATCTTTTCCAATAGAAATATAAAAATGAAATTAGATATTTAGATTTAGTTGTTTTACCACTACCAAATATTTTTCTACGTGTTCCCCCTTGATTTTCCTTGCTCTATGCGATACGTGTTTGTTTGGTTGGCTGGTTTCTGTGGTCCTTGTGATATGTCAAGCGGCTAAAGCCTCAGGACCGAGTACGGGATATGTGGGGAGAACAGGACAGGCCGGGATAGGACATGCTATGGAGGCGAGTGGCTTTATTCCTGTCTTGCGGTCGCCCCGCCCCCGTATGTTAATTACAAATGCATTGCTCAGTTTGCCTAAAGCTCACTCCTCACCACACCTTTTTTCTTCTTGTGTATTTTTGCAGGTTTCACATAGATAAACGCTGTCAGCACCGATGTTCCTGGAAATGCTTGAGCATCGCCTTAATATTCGTATCCGTCGTCCTAACAGCCATGTTGGCATACTTTGCAGGTAAGAATTTCCGGCTAAAAACATCGGACATTGTCATAATGCTAACTTGGTTAATGAAAAATACACAAGCCCACTTACACACACTCACACATACACGCACACACCCCAGCATACCTGTGCAAATATTCGCTCAGTGTATACATAAGTGCAAACTACAAACAAGCGATAACAAGGCAAATACATCAAAGTGTTTGCATTACATTAGCGTTAAATGGTGTAAACTTACACACACACTGGCAAGCTAAGAAACCCAACACGGTGCGATGGCCTAGGCAAACATATACCTTTATGGGTGTATTATATATCTATATATAGTTATACACTGGGATAATAATTATCTGGATAAAAAGCTATTTAAATTTGTATTATTTATATTTTATTTTTTCATATTCCATTTAAACTTTGCAATATATAGAATTCCTTTGAGTTGTGACATTAGTTCCTTAATTTACTAACTTTAATAATGAAACAAGCCATTTTTAAATAATTATTGAATTATCCTAATCAAAACAAATTCTATTCCAAGAACAACAAATTCTTCAGTTTCTCAATACATTTTCACTGTGTATATCCATACTATATATATTCCTGGGCTGCCGCAAAATGTTAATTGATAAATGTTCCAACTGTGCTGGTCGGGCACCCTGTAAAATTGACAAGCAATTAGAAACCGCATCCCTCGTAACTTTCGATGGCATCAAACAAACCGCCAGATCGATTGACAACCCCATTATGATGATGATGATGATGATGATGCTGATGTCATTGTTTCAGAGTCGGGAAATCCTCGGGAAGCCTATAAAATGAAATTAAATATTGTTTGTTTTGTGGGCTAAATTTGGCGGTCTTACTTCCTGTTTAAGCATAACAAACATTCATATTAAAAACAAAAGCTTATAACTATTTTCTACTTGTTTTGGTGTTAGAAATGTTAATTTTCAAACTGAATTTTACTAAATTAAATGTATAAAAAGGCAAAAACAAAATGATTTCCCCATAACATTCTGTAACGTATAAAGTTTAAAATGGCTTTTAAATAACAGAAAGCCAACAAAAGTTATGCTTTTCCTGGTCTGATCTCACCTGAATTGATAACAGATAGTAAAATGGCTTTTTAATGTTTTCCCTACTTGGCATGTTGCACTTGCCAATTCCGAAGGATGCTGCTTTCTCCCTGTTTTTTGTTTTTTTGTTTTTTGTATTTAGCACTCTCCCCATTTTCCTGTTTTTCCTGCTGTTTTTTGTTTACAACTTGATAATTAAACACGTTTTGTGCCTTGCCTGGTGTTGTGTGGTGGTGTTGTTGTTGCCTTCCAAATTATATTTACAGGTCAATTTAATTCTTTTTGCCCATTTCTCTTTTCTGCTCTGGCAAACCCTTGGCTTTACGTCCGTCCGTCCATCCGTCCGTTACCCCTTTGCCACCTTAACCCCCTGTTGCCTCGCTGTCTGTCTGTCTGTCCGCTTTTGTTGCTTCAGTTGCTTCAGTTGTTTTTGTTGTTTTGCCCCGGCAAAAACTTTGCACATTAAAATATGTAAATTTTAATTTGAAACAAAAGGGTTGACGGTTGGCGAGAGGGCTTCCTGCCAACCGTTGACGGCAATGGCGACGATGACGACGCCTCACAGCCACCTTAAAAAACCCCCTCACTTTTCCCTGACCCCCCCCTTCTGCCCCTCCAGGAATTTTCCTGTGGTAGCCTCTGTGCCCCGGCATTTGATCTAGTGAAACATTGGCACAACTTTTTGGACACTTTTAGCGTCTGTGCGTCGACATCTGGGCTGCCAGGTTCTTCTTACTTTTGGCCCAAAACCACTCACGACCCCTTTTCAGCGGGTTTTTCCGACTGCCAACTCGTTTTTTTTTTTTTTTTTGATGATGAATCTAACGCAAAGGCATTCAAATTTATGTGGCTAAAGTTGAGATTCAACAAAAGCCTTTCGTCTGCAGAAATTTGTTCAGGGCTTTTGTGAGTGATTTGTCTTGTTTTCCTTTAGGTATACAGGTAAACAAGTTGACCATAAATCGAAGAATAATTGTTGTTCACAAATCGAACTAGAATTTACATTGATCATTAAATAAAAATTGTTTGCCTTGCTTTGTTCTATTTCGTGCTTTATGTTCTTTAAATTAATTAACAATTTATGTTGAATGCAATTTCAATTTTTAAACGCACAACAATTTTTTGTAATATTAAGCAGAATTTAACCTCAAATATATATTTAAATTTCTTTGTGAAACTATTGTTTAATTTTAAATTAGGTTTTCATGTTTGTGTACATGATAGAGTTGAAGTAAATTCAAAATATTTTTGGTCATTTTAGAGTGAACATATTAAGGCGGAATATTTTTGTGCCACAGCACAAATAGCTTCATCAACACAACACCCATGTCCTTTCTTCGGATGCTTTTGTTTTTGTGCCATCCATTCCGAATTCGAGCCACTCATTTCTCCGTCTGCTTTCCCTCTCCCTTACGCACTTTCTCCTCGAGTCTCCTTCTATTTTCTCACTTTCTCCCTGCGTTTAATTTATTATCTACGCAGAAGAAGCAGCAGCAGCTGCTCGAGAGACGGCGGCACTGATTTACAGTTGGCTAAAAGCTGCGGCTTGTTTGGTGGGTGGCTTGGGTGGTTTGGGTGGGTTTTTGTGGGGGCTTTTTGGGTGGCAAGGTTGTTGCTGTTTTTGTTGTTGATGGGGCTGCGGTGTCACAGCATTGCAAGTGAACGAAAACAAATTTACAACAAACCACGGGAAAAATATATGTGATGCCACTTGGCACATGGCTCGCCCCCCTCCCCTTTCAGTTTCCCCATTTTTGCCACGCCCCCTGAGCATCCCCTCGCCTTTTGGCACAAAATGAATTTAAGTTGAAAAGTTGTGAACATTTTGTGGATGTGGGGATGGGGTGGCATTTTTGGGTGCTGCGTGTGGATTTCACTGATTTAATTGTTGGCAGCCAGCAGCAGAAGCAGCAGCAGCGGCACATGCTTGAAATTTATCTTTTAAAAATAATGTATTAATTTTTGTGGCACCCCTCGACCACCCTCTCTTCCACTTAACCGCTATAAACTCATTTGTGTAAAAAGTTTTTGTTCAGTGTGCGTAAGTGAGTGAGTGTGGGTGCGTGCGCGTGTGTGTGTGTGTGTGTGTGTGTGTGTGTGTGGCAAATGAATTTACGCTTTTCCTCTGTCTTTTCACGCTCACTGTTTGCTTGGGGGTCGTTTTATGGTTAAATAGTTTTAGAAACTGTGGTGTTTTAGGATACAGACTCGGGAACAGGTGAACCAGAAATTAATTTACCTCATTTTTATATAGTAAATATTTCAGTAGTAGTCAAACTTTTCCCTCGTTTCCCTGTGTTTGCTTTGTAATTCTCTATTAATTAAGGGTTTCGCGGGTGGGGAACGCCAGCTGCTTTGGGTATTTAAAAATATATACCCAAATATATATACGCCCAGGAAAACTGTATACTCATATACAAATATGTGAGGCCCATTGTCAGTTAATTAACAGGCAGACAGCTTGCGTTTGTTTGTTTGCCTTGTCAGCCTCACGAGTTGTTCTCTTTAATTTGATTTACATACTGTCTCCTGCCGCAGCCTCCTTCCCCGTTATGCCACGCCTCCTTTTGCCCCTAACCCCCAAAGCAAACAATCGCCCAAATGATGATGGGGGACTTCAGGCTTCGAGCAAATTAACACAAAGAGCTGCGAAAATAAAATGAATATTTTCTGTTGCCTACTTATGAGGGCTGCGGTGGTGGTGGTGGTGGAAAATTGGCCAAGGAAATATGTTTGTTCTGGCTTGAGTGTGTGTAACTTGTCATAGGGTATTTATAATTAAAAAAATGTGTAATGTAAGTCTTTAAAGTTGATCAAAATTTAAGTCAAATTAAAACCTTTACAAAAAAAGTACTTTTACCTTTCACTACTTTTTGCTAAGTATATAAAAAAAGGGGTCCCGAACCATGTCAATATCCTTAAAAGATAGCACATTTTTGGCTGTTTCCCAGACCAGTTAGCAACGTGCTGTGTGTGATGTTGGCTGACAGCTTAAAATCCACATTTGCATATTGGAGCATAATGCATATAGCGATCTCCATGCAGCTGTCATTTCTGTCCCGATAATCGACCGCAATGTCAGCAGAGTGCGAGCGAGAAGGAAAAGCGAAAGGGAAGGAGAGGGAAAGAGAGGGAAGAGGCGGTGAAAGTGATAGGGCAAGTGCAACCGCAGCAGCAGCAGGAAAAACAGCTACAGCAGCCACCCATAAAGTTGCATAAATGTTTGCCCAGCGATTTACAAATGTGCCACTTTCTATCACAACAAAAGCAGCAGCAGCAGCAGCAGTATCAGAGCAGGACGGCTAAAGGCGGTGCGAAAGAGACAGTACGAGGGCAGGGCGGAAAGAGACGGAAGGACAGACAGTCAGACAAACGGACAGACAGCAGTTAATATGCTTGACTGGCAGCTGGCCTTTTCAGGATGCGCATTGCAGTAGTTATCGGAAATAGGTTAATCGATTTTTAAGCGGATAACTATCGGAAACTCATTCGATATGCACTGTTTCACAGCCAGATGGAGGCCGGCCACGCCCCCTTTCCAACGCACTGACCCGCCCGTAAAGATTACACGGACAGAAAAATTACATGTTGATGACAAGGAATTTAATTTCAATAAAACTAAACGCATTTTCCATTATTTTTTATTACAATCACAACTAGATTAATTATTATGCACCACATACAAACATTAATTTAAAATGAACTTAGGTTTAGTTGTTTTTTTTTTCAAACCTTTGAAATTTATTTATTTTCATTATTTGATAAGTAATTTTTGCAAAGCCAGCTCAAAACTTGGTTTAATTTATTTCGCGCTGTGTTTTTGGTCGTGCCAACTGGCCAAGTGCGTTCGTGCATTCATCTGTGTTGAAACTTCAGTGGCCCCCCTTTGAAAAGGCCCCCCCCTCACTGTCTACGTCACTGCAACACCAGCTGTGT